GGTCAAATAGAGTGAGAGAAAAAAGGAAACTCCCAAGAGAGCCAAATACATTCAACTGATCCACAACTACAGACATGCTTAATAATGTTGTCAACTGGGATAGAAAAACATCTCTTACAGATTTTTTTCTAACTCCAACAAACTCACATGACAGATAAGGCAAATACCTTTCTAATTCTCTCTCTGCCCCCTGGAGCTATTTTACAAGTCGGATTTGGGTCATGTGTCCGTTGTAATCAATAGCTACACTTCCATAAACTTCAATTTTAAGGATATTCTAAAAACAAAACGTGTACAAATTATCGCTTCTCAGCTACGGATCTAAATGTCGATGACATTTCTCTGAAGCATGTGAAGGTAACTGCATTGTAGTACACTGGAATATTTTTTTTCCTCAGCTGGAAACATTTTAAGGTATGTCCTCAATTTTCAACTATGTATCTCCCATCACTCACACCAGAAACAAGCTTTGATTATAACAAGAGTGATATATGCATCTCGAAATTCTAATATAAGTTATTTAAGTCCCATCAGTGCATAAATTATAAAAAGGATCTCCTTCCCTGAACAGTCAAAATAAAGAGAGAAAAAATAAACTCTTTGCAAAGAAAAAGGGAATTGGCATTACAGAAATTATGTAAGATTTGCTATGGATTTATCTACCAGCCACTAGGAACATTCATTTCATATATAGTTTAAGCTGGTAAAATAAATTACTACCAATCAACGTTTGTCACAGTGAATTCAAAGTACTTCCCTCATTCTCAGGAGTATCTAAAAGCTCTCCGTTTTTTCACTAAAAACAAAAGTTAACACAGCTCCAAATCTTCAAAATAGGACACCTGACCAAAAACCTATACTTATTCATGTTAAATCAGAACATCTATGTTGAGTTGAACAGTATGTCATGACTAAGCTGAAGGACAGAAAGAACACAGAAACCAATTTAAAAGGCAAACTACGCGTTAGTAGGTAAGCTTTCTTATCCTGCTGGGGAAACACATTTGTCAAATATACCTTTAACATGTGGAGGAAAGTAAGCATTTTGCTATTCAACATATAATTAACCTGATAAACAGACTAGAATAAAATATTACTGAAGGAAGTGGCTAAAATCACAAGCTTAATTTTTTTCTACACAAAGCTGACACTTGCTTCACAGACAACTAAATGCCCTTAAGGATAGTACTGTCTGCTTGGGAATGCATGCATGTGTACTGAAGGACAGAAATTATCATTTAAAAACAAAACACAGCTAAATGTACAGAGTTTCTTATTTCTCATGCTTCAGAGATTAAGATCTCTAGCTAGATTTGGAATCTCTGACAGATTAGGAAGAATTATTTTCTTCCCCTGTCCATATAGAATGCTTTATTATAGCTTGGCTTCCTGTAAAATATCTGGCACTGACTTGAGGCAAGGTACCTGATTAAATGAACGGTTGGTCTAGTGACACAACAAAAATATTTATCTCTGTGTCATGAAAAACTAAGCTGAAAAATACTTACCTTATATGCTTCACATTTCATTCATCTACCAAATGTATTTTAAATCACTTTAGGAATCACAAAGCGTTCTACACAGATAGCTTTACAGACTGCAATACTCTTGCCACAGCAAAATTACTCAATTCTGCCACTAAAATACTGTTCCAAAAGGGTGGGGTTTTTCAGCCTCTATGCCCGTTGGAACTAGTTGCAGGAAGGTGCTATTGGTCTAGTTGACTCTGGCTATGCCTTATGCACGCATACACTCAAGCTCATAGGAAATACTTTCTTCTTCAAAAATAGGAAGATGCTGAAAGTATTTCAGAAGTTTCCAACTAAGAACGAAGATAAGTAACTGGTGAAGCCTCAAAGGCTTAAAGCTACAACGCATTCTAGTAGCGCTGATGCTAATGGAATCACTGGTCCCTGAAAGCTCACGAGAGCATCAAGCAAAGGCAAAGTGGTAACCTCCAGCTGATTTGTACATTACTTACTAAATATGTATGCCTATAAACAAAGTGGTTCATATTTCTACTGCAGCAAAGGACTGGGAAGGGTATATGTAGGCCATATTTGCAAAAGCAGTCTAGGAAAGAAACTGGACTGTAACATCATCCTCTTCTCACAGCTGCCATCAAACTGCTACCAAAGGCACAGTGCTTTTGGCCACTACAGAACTAATGTCAACATAGGTATCGGTGAAAATCACATCCAATCAAAATATATTAGTAACTGATCTTCTCAATTATGATTAGAGAGAATTGCCTTTTCCTTCCTGTCAGAAAAAGAGGCCCAAATCTGCTAAGAAAATGGGATCCACTTCTATGAAAGAAACGTGGATCAAAGCCAGAAGTCTCAAAAGAGAAAATAAAAGATGTACAGATAAAGACAAAAAAGAAAAGAAGATTTGTTAGTTATTTTGTATTTAGCAAAGACAGGGCAAGAAAAGGTTACCTCATAAGTTCGTTTTATCTACACTGCTTTCCATATAAAGAAAACAGCACAAAGAAGTCAAAAAACCGCTTAATAAGAGAGTATGTGAGAAAATCCCAACAACTTATCAGATAAATCAATGCAGAACCCATAATCAGCAAATATACATTCTTTACTTCACTCTTAGTTTTCTGCATGCTTGTTCACTCTTACACTTAATTTTAGGGGCATGCTACATATATATATGTATATATATATATATGTATGTATGTATATGTGTGTGTGTGTATTCTTTCTAAGTTTGCAGCATACTCAAATTATGCAAGCTTGTCTAGAACATACTCTACTGATACAAACTAGCTTTGATTTTCTAATATCAATTTTGTTAAGTTGACTTAATAAATGCGAAGAAAAAGCCCAAATCTTTTAAATGCAGCTTAAGAGTATTTTAAGAAGAGACTATACAGCATTTTAGTAACAAAATGCTATACTGAAATAATCCATAAAGGGATTTCAATTACAAATAATAATTACTGTTTCTGTTACTCAAATCACACCTTCCTTTCCCCTCCATCATAAAGCAACTAAGGTGCGAGTAAAATGAAATAATGATGGTTTTGCAAATAGTATCTAAAGCGTATCTATTATTAACTGCGACAAAGTTTCACAATTTGGTGCTGTTAATGCTTAGTTTTTGCAAGTAACTGATACCCTCCTGCAATCAAAGAGCTGTCTAACAAGATTTGTGAAGATTTCAGAAGCTTGCTCTTCAAAACATGCCTAGTAGATTTAAAAAAAAAAAAAAAAGAAAGAAAAAAACACACAATAAAAGCAAGAACAAATAAAATCTGTGAAACCCATGAAAACAGATGGAAATGTGTTCTCTGCATTCATGGACAAGGCATCACGCGTATCAGACAAAAAAAAGGGTATTTCATCATCCAGTTACCAAGCTTTAAACTATAACTCCTTGTTTTATAGGCTTACATGCTGATTTTGTAGAAAAATCTTTGTACGATTCTTGCCTCACTCCATCTCATGCGTTAAATTCATCCTAGTATACTTCCACTCAATAATGGACTACACCAAGGATCACCTCGGTCCTGTATGAATCAGGAAAGTACAAAATAAAAGCTTGAAAAATCATACATTTAGTGTATTAATATAGCCTAACATTTGAAGATTTTACCCCGTTATACATCAAAACTATGGCACATAAGTAGTCCGATACTGATTTTCCTTCAGCTTCTCACATTGAAAGATACTTAAATCTACAAAAATCACATAGAAGACGGAGGTTTATTTTAAGTATCAAAATTCAACAGAGCATGTTATCGTGTTGACCAAAAAAAAGGGAAAAACTGCTTTAATTACTTGTCAAAATAGTTTATCTGAAGTACGCTTCTGTTCTTAACCTTTCTCCCTTTAAATCCGTAACTCTACAAATGAGTATTCTCAATTTAAGTATGGTTTGAAAAAATAAATAATGGAAAACAAATTTCTCAGTGAGAGTATGAAGACTAAGACTCAGTGCATGGTAAAAGGTAAATCTTCACATCCCTTTCATCAGCTGAAAACAAGGCATATTAACACAATGTTGAAAGATCCCCAGCAGAGAACAGCATGCTAGTGGAACATGCTATAGCATCATAGGTAAAATTTTATGCATGAATTTAATGAATTAATTCAGATTGCTGTTTACCTGCAGTGATTCCTTTGTGTCAGAAGTAAACCAGGCCATAAACACAGGTTTACCCACTGACATCATTTGCTTATTCATTTCCACATTCATCACAAGAGAACAAATTCATATCAAAATATAGATAACGTTAACGGAGAATAATACATAATCCCTGACATCCTAGTACAAGCACTTTGACCTGGATTTAACAAGGAATAGACATATCACTGCTTTCAACAGCAGTAACCCACAGTACACAGGTAATTTATCAAACGTATCATAAACATATATCCACTGAACAGATGTACAGGAAATAGATAGGAAACATACACATCACATGGAAACTATAAACATGAAGTATAGCAGGCATTACAATTGTAACAATAAAGTGGCTCATCATTTAATGAGAATGACTTCATTCATGAATAGTTATTTCGTAAAACGATTATTTCTTTTCTGTAGTAACTGAAAACAAAATATAGCGCAGGAAGTAAATTACATTTTTCTCTCATGGCATTCACAGTCAGATAAGCCTTGATGTTCATGTTTAAATGCAGTGGAAGATCAGAATCCTGTTCAGCTTTAAGATATATGTCTTAAGTAAAAGCTATAATGAAAACTTATTTCCCAACCTTCTCCATAAAATCAGCTTGCAAAACACTTCCAGAAGAATTCGTACATCTTTCCTTTAAACACTTTACAGCAGCAACCTCAGATCTATGTACAGTCAATCCATAAAATATCTAATTAACACAGACACAATTCTAAGCACCCTTTAAGGAAACAGGAAAACATGCATGAAGAAAATTAAAACGTTTTTCTATTTCTAACGCTTACCACAAAAATGCAAAAAAAAAGGCAGGGGCAGTTTCAGAAACACTGAGTGAAAATATACCCACCCCTAGCCGAAAGCTTTTTGGTGTTGATAATTTTTGCAGCATATTCTTGTCCTGTCGTAATTTTCATACACCTTCTCACGACTGAGAACGCCCCTCTGAAAACCAACAACGGGACAAAGTGTCAGTGTTAACTGAAACAGTTCACAGCCGTTTCTAATGCAAGGGCTTTAAATGATTTCAGGGACAGCTGTGATGTTGACAGAATACAACAAGAAAAGGAGGATTTTCAGAGAGCGTCAGCCAACGGTGATTTTACAGATCGAAACAGTAAATTCGAAGCAGAAAGGCGGGCACCAGCCG